TAGAGTGCTAGTCTTGAGCTGAAGAGCTCAGGGACAGCGCCCAGACCCAGAGTTCAGGCCTCATGACTGACAAAACAAAAACAAAAAACCAGTGCAAAAAGGCTAAGGGTGTGGCTCTAATGATAGAGTGCCTGCCTTGCAAGCAAAAAACCAGAGTTTAATCTTCAACACTGACAAAACCCACAAAAGTATTCATTCAGCAAGTATGTAAATGCACAGATTGTCTTTTATGCTCAGGTGCTGCTCTAAGCATTGAGGATATACAAGTGACCAAAACAAAGTCCTTGTCTTTTAGAGCTAACATTCCATGGGAAAACATGGGCACCATAAACAAAATAAAATGTTACAGTTAAAATATAGCCAGCTAGGTGGTAATGATTACTGAGAAATAAAAACAAAGCACCGAGGGGGCCAGGAAATGAGGGAAGGAGCAGAACACGTAAGTGAAACTGGCAGAGTGTGGGACAGCCATGCAGCCATCAAGAATAGGGCTGAAGCCCAGAAACTACCATTCTTGTTGGGTCCCAGCAGAGAGGGGTAATGAGGTTAGACACCTCAGGGCCCTAGTAAAGCTGTTGAGTTTTACTCCAAATGAAGACAGAGGTCATCAGGGGATTTGAGCAGAGAAACAAAGAGATCTGACTTCATGTTTTTGAAGGATCACGTGACTGCAGTGTTCAGAATTGACTGGAGAGCAAAGATGAAAGCAGAGAGACCAGTTAGGAGGTTGGTGCCATAATCCAGTGTGATGGTGGTGGCTCAGACAGGTGCTAGTAATGGAGGTACCATCATCAGTCCCTCACAAGACCCCCAGTGCATGCCTGAACCCTTTAATAGTACATAACCTGTGTATAGTACACTATGCTTTTCCTTATATACACAGACCTATGACAAAACCTACTTTACAAATTAGGCCCAGAGATGAATAGCAACAATAAGAACTGTTCTTTATAATAGTACATGTTATGTGACTTATCATCTCTCTTAATATATCTTCTACTGTACTTACCCTTCTTGCAGTGGAAGCAAATACTTCAGACCCTACATGATGAGGTAAAGACCTGAACATAAACACCACAGTGCTGGTCCTGCCACACTTGGTCACTTGATCTGACAACCAAGAAGGCTACTAACTGCCTAAAAGGCTAGTAGCAGAGAGGATACACAGGACAAAGAGGTGATTCACGTCTAAGTTAGAACAGAGCTAGATAGCTTGAGATTACATCACCCTGTTCAGACTGGCACACATTCTAAAACTTTCTAGAACTTTCCATTTAATATTTTGACCAGTATTGACCCTGGGTGACTGGGGACTACTGTAGTAAAACCAGGATTACTGTAATATTCTAGGTATAGCTAACAAATTCACTGGTGAATTAAATATGAAATGTAAGAAAGATCGAAAGAATGAAGTGTGAAGGTACTGGTAGCTCATGTCTGTAATCTTGGCTACTTGGGAGGCTGAGATCCATATAGGGTCACAATTTGAAGCCAGCCCGGGCAGAAAAGTCTGTGAGACCTCATATCTGAAGTAACTAGCAGAAAGCCAGGCTGGTGGCATCACTCATGTTGTAGAAAAACAGCCAAACAAGCAAGCCCAGTAATCACAAAGTCCTGAGTTCAAACCAAGATAGCAAAAAAAAAAAAAAGTAAAATGTGACCACTGCCTTTGGCCTGAGTTATGAGAAGGATATAGTTGCTGTTCACAGAAATGTCCACTAATGTATAATTAAAAACCAAAATTTGGTCTGACAAGACAGAAAATAATTGGTATAGAAGGATATCATACTGGATGATGATATTTTAGATCTACTTGAATTAGCATCACTGAAGGAGCCATACTAAAATACAGTTAATTAATTAATTCTGGTCCTGGGGCTTGAACTCTGGGCTTGGGTGTTGTCCCTGAACTCCTTGTGCTCATGACTAGCACTCTACCATTTGGGCCACAGCACCACTTCTGGCTTTTTCGGTGATTAATTGGAAATAAGAGTATCATAGCTGGGCTCTGATGGCTCACGCTTGCAATCCTAACTACTCAGGAGGCTGAGATCTGAGGATCACGGTCCAAAGCCAGTCCCAGTTCAAAGCCAGTCCTGGCAGGAAAGTCCATGAGACTCTTATTTCCAATTAACCACCAGAAAACCAGAAGTGGCACTGTGGCTCAAAGTGATAGAGTGCTAGTCTTGAGCTGA